AAATTGGTTATTTTCCTTTATAAATAAAAAAATCAGGATTATTATGAAAAAATGAGACTTTTTTGGGAATACATTTAGAAATCAAACTAAACTTCAGAAGAAAATCTGTGCATGAAAGGCAATAACTAAACTTTAGTTCCTGAAACTATGGTCACACATTTTCAATAGTGGCACTGTAACATCATTATTGAATTTAGGCTGCAGCCTAATACATAGGAGTATGTATTACATAGTGTCATGATCTCATACCATTGATCTAATGAATTGTGATACCTTAATGAAATTACTTACATGTAATTCATAACAGTAAGTAGACAGATACACAACAAGGGATTTGTTCTGGAGTGTGCAAAATTTCCAGTAGTAAAGTTGTACTTATATGAGGGAAAAAGAGAAAACCTGGGAATTTGTATTGTACTACGTTGATTCCTCTGATCTCTTTTAGAAGGAGCAGGGACAATCTTTTATGTTTTCTGAATCCCTGCTATTGCATGTTTGATATAAAATATTTTAATTAACAGTATTTTCTGCAATCCTGTTTTATCTGAATTTTGAATGGATTGAGTTTTATAGGGAACTACTTATTCATTTAGATGAACATAAAAATGGCATGTGATTGACTGAAATAAAAGTAACTATGCAAAAATTTTGTAATGGCAGAAAAGAAAAATAAGCAAGTGACAAAATTTAAGTAACTTTAAAGCAAAAATAAAAATTAGAGTATAAATTCCAGAGCCTATACCTTAATAAAATTTTGTCTTTTACAGAAAGTGTGTTTTTATGCCATCAGCAGTAAACTCAAGCCACATATGTTATTAAACATTTCATATTAAATTTGGGAGAGGTTTAGCCCATAGTCATAAAAATACTTTTATATACTTCAAAAAAGGTGAAGTCTTATAGTCAATATGGCTGCTCAATACAGCAGTGTAATGTATTAGCTAGTGTAAAAGCAGAACTCAAGTTATTTTGAACAGCAGCAAAGTTAAAATATTACCCAGAACATGCCTTTGTAAAAATTGTATCATTACTGGTATATAAAGATCAGTCTAATTATCAACACCCTTAAGGAACTGTAAGTAAACTGTAGAGATACAGCTTATTAAGACTCAATTTATTGTACTTAACTGCATATGATATCTAATTGACAATATTCCAGTGCATATTTTCAAGGGCAAATATTGTGAGTTGCAGTTTATGTGTTGGCACACTGACCTGGACTTTTATTAGCCCATCATCGTTACTGACAGTTGCTATATGTATATAGCAATCTCAATATATTTGAGAGATGGATATTATGAAATAGCCAGGGATCAACTGGAAAGGTGGTAGTTTTAAAGATTTAACTAATGACGGAACAAAAATGGTTGCTTGGACAGTATGTTTAAGAAGAGGTTGCATGTTGTCATGTGTAATAGATCAAGTCTAACTTTTTTAGCATAGAAGTGATTTTATTAGTACTCTTCTCTGAAGTTTTCCTCTTTTAAGTCTACTGGAATCAGATGAGATGAATTGTCTCTCTATTCTGAGCTGACAATGACTAAAAACACAGAACTTCAGGAAACCTGGAAAGGTTTTGCTTTCTAGATGTTCCACATCAGAAAAAGATGAAGAACCTTTATCATGAGGCAAGAGTTTTAACTTTGTTTTTGGTTCAGCAGATTGAAAAATGCAGAAATCTTTCTGCTGGAAATTAATTAGATCCCATTTGTGGTAACAGATGGATCACCATATTTTAATCTGTTATGTCTAATCTCATGCTTCTGAGATTTACACTGTACCTCAAAGTTCTAGAGGAAAGCAATATCTTATTCTCCAAATTATCAACATAGAATGAATAAAGCTTAAAGTTTCTTGGTATATGATGCTATAAGGGTTGCTAAGACTTTTGGTTGTCTGGCTTATAAATTTATTAATATACAAGTTCCTAAGCTTTTTATCTATATTTCCCTAATTCAATGCAGTTGAGTTTTACGGCTGGTATTTGATCACTAAAAATTTTTCACAGTCTGATAAACATTTATTTGTTTCAGGCTATTTCCTTGCAGGCAAACTGTAAACCATTACAAACAGCACTAAATTGCACTTCCTTTCAAACAGGCAAGTATGCCAGGAGAACCAGTAAAAGGTGTGACTGTGGCTTTCACCAATAAGAGGGGGATTAAAATAAGCCACATGGGGTAATAGTGATAGCTGGTACATTCTGAGTTCAGTTGCTACAAAACCTACATACAAAGCTCAGCAAACACTTAGGAAATTAACAATTTTGTATGTGAGGTGATACAGAAACACTCTTTGGTCCATCATGTGGCCTAGGCTCCAAAATCATTCAGGCTGGGGAACGTACTGGAAAACACAATGTAGATTAGAATGTATGTTCAAATAATCTACTGAAAATTTATGCTAGCAAAAACCATGTCATCAGTGAGGATTTAATGCATAGGTGGAATAAGATTTTTGTCACTGAATGACATAGAGTCAGATGCTGCAACAAGCACCTTACTGCAAACAGGTTCAATGCTTCTCAAACCTCTTCTTGTGTGCCAAAGGGTCTTGCCTACAGGCATCCTCAGACCACTTCTACCATGCTGTCAAAGATTCCTGGTTTTTCCAAGTATGAGGACAACAAAACAGGACACTAAACTCATGGAAGATGTAGGGAACCACGATTTCATTCCTTTCTGTCTGTGACTGAAGGACTCATAGAATCATAGAATGAGCTGGGTTGGAAAAGACCTCTGAGATCATCAAGTCCAACCTTTCATTTTTTTTTTAATTTCTTTTTTTTTTTTGGAAATCCTGTCCAGGTTTTCCCCAATTCTGTACTCCAGGAAAATCCAATCTGGGTTTTCACCCATTCCATAATCCAGAAAAATCCAGTCCGGGTTTCCCCCACATTCCATACTCCAGAAAAATCCAGTCCGGGTTTTCCCCCATTCCATACTCCAGGAAAATTAAGTCTGGGTTTTCCCCCATTCCATACTCCAGAAAACAACAGTCTGGGTTTTTCCCCCATTCCATACTCTGGAAAATTCCAGTCTGAGTTTTTCCCCATTCCATACTCCAGACAAAATCCAGTCTGGGTTTTCCCCCATTCCGTACTCTGGCCAAAATCCAGTCTGGGTTTTCCTCCATGCTGTACTCTGGGAAATTCCAGTCCGGGTTTTCCCCCATTCCATACTCCAGCGGAAAATCCAGTCCAGCTTTCCCCCCACCCCCCCAAAGCAGCCCCAAGAACCCCAAAAGAAGCACCAGAAGGTGTGAACTCCGCAAGGTGACACCAGAACAGTGTTTTATTTATTGTAACAAACACGAAGGATCATGATGCAATGAATTACTTCCAAAAAATCAGCCATAACCCTTGTAACTATACAAGCATACAAGGAGTAAATGCAGTACAGCAGCATGCATCAGACACTGGTGTCCACCTCAGATTGGTGTGAAGCAGCCACGTTACTGTATCAGTTTCAGAATGTAATGGGGGCGCAGAAACATGTGTGATGGCTTTTAAGAGAGCCCAAGAGAAGTGTTCTACAAAGGGTAGATCAGTGAAGCAGTATAGCACAAATTATTGTTGTCATACCAGACTGCTACTCAGCCTACAGCTCAAAGATGTCAAGGGAACTGGTTTTGTAAAGATAGTTCCACATAAGTGTTTCATTAACAGTACATACCTCCTCAGCTTATTGGCTAAAGGACAAATTAAACAGCAATAAGGAAGCCAAAACTTTTTTGTCTTCTAAAAGACAAGTATCTATATCCTAAATAAAACAAGTAATCTTACCAAAGGGTAGCTGAAGATTAGAGATTTGGAAGCTCCCTCCATGGGTTCCTATGACCTGGGATGTTTATTTATGTATTTTGTCTAGTGATTATATGTATCCAAAACACATGGAACTGCCCAGAGAGTAGGGAGCAGAACCTGGGACTTTCTCTTGCTCGAAGATCACTAGGCAATAAATTGAAGGACTTCCACAAGCTCTCCATGAACTTCTCCTGAGACACCAGAATGCCCAGTGATCACAGCTCCTTTTCCCAGAGCTTGGAATTAGCTGGAGGTTAAAATTCCTGCTACAGGTGAAGAACTGACTGTGATTCTTCTCCAAAAACGAGTGGTAATTACATTCCACACAGCCTGGGGAAGTGCTCAGCCAAAGAGTTATTGTACAAAAACGCTGCAGCAGCAATGCTTCCTCTGACTGCATTTCAGAAGGAACAAAGCAGCAGCTTCCCTCTTGTTCAGAACTCTTCCCAGCTTTGTTTTCAAAATAAAATCTAATGCCAATGTTCCAAGAGTCCTAAAATTCCTGGATTAAATTTTATTTGGAGCCTCAAAGTTTTATACCAAACAATGCAGTGCTTAGGTCCCTTAGGTCTAATCCCTTACATATCAGCCTGTGAAAAAAATAAAAATATTGTGCAATATGCTATGAAAAACAAATTAATCTTCTGTAAGCAAAAGTTTAACTGGGCTAAGTATAACTCCCAATCTAGTCCAGAAAGGAAGATGAAACTAATGTTCTTATTTAGTGCTCAGAACTAGTTACATTTTACTGTTTATTCACACGTCTGATTCTGGACCAATGTATGATCATAGAATCAAGTCACACCTCTTCAGAAGACATCCCCAAAAGATGCTAGCCAGCGAAACTGAAAAACATCTTTGCACATTTTTATACAGAGGAATATGCACTGTCTTACAAAGGAAATTGTAACCATAGCAAAACAAAACAAAAAAAAAATCGAAAAAAAAAATCACTAAATTATTAGTGCAGGTGTACTAAAATTTCACCAACACAGTGAAAGTGAGAATAGTCAACTTGTGAGGCTAGAATTTTATTGTTCATAGGTCAATACATAAACATAGCATATTTACGAGAAACTGAAAATCTGAGTTGTTGACATTAGGTCAAAACTTTCTTGGTCCAAGAACTCACCTTTTATTCTGACATGTAGAGTTTGTGAAATATAAATTTCTTACTATTCAATCAATTTCACTAGTAGGGAACTTTTAGACTAAGTTATACATCCCAATTTGGAGAAAAGGTAAGCAGACTAAAGCACACACCAGTATGGTAAACTTAAGATGCTGGGGTTTCCAGCATGCCATCCCCAATTCCTTCTTTCTGTGCCAATTGTACAAGGTTCCAAGAGATGAGCACTAATCACAACCTTCATCTGCAGTACAAAAATATAGTCACCAGAAGAAAGACACAGCTAATATTGCCTTTCCGTGATTTTATAAATCTATATCAAAATAACCTAGCTATTATATCCAGTCAACATTAAAGCAAGGAATTCTCATGTTTATTCCAGAAAGAGACTGAAGTTCATAGGGGATAAATGTTGCATAGTTTTCACATTTTGTCTCCTTTACACTTTTTGGTCACCTCACCTGTCAAATCCAACACATTTCTGACAACTGCTTAAACTTTTCTTAAATTTCTGCCCAGGTTGAAGTCATTACTGCATTTAGTGCCATATATAATTTATACAGTTTTTCTTAAGATGTCACTGAAATAAAATTATGCACTCTTAACTGAAAACTGATGCATCTAAGCAGGATTTCATGAAGTAGGTTATTGTCCCCACCTGTGTATGGGATACCAGTTCAGGAATTACTTCCTTTACTATGCAGTAACAGTAAAAGAAAGAAAGTAAAAGTTGAACTGCCATCAAACTCATTAAAAAACAGATAAGACTGTTTATATATTAAAAACAATTTACTTTCCCAAAATAATGTACAATTAGAAGCAGTTCACACTATTTTAAAGACAGAGCTGGAAAGTATTTGAAGAAAAGCTATTAAGTCTGAAACGCATTGCGCTGAGACAATATGCTGAAATGCTTTAAAATTCTCACTTGGAGCAATACTGCTTTAAACCATGAATTTTTATTCAGTATGTACACTCAGTACACTGTCAAGACAGTTGTAAAGAAGAGTCTCAGTTTACTTTTTCCTGACACATCCACCACCTGCAAGCATGGTGGCCACCCGAATAAGGATGTTCAGTGTATCGGTGTAGATACCCATGCATTTTACATAATATCTTGTTGATCAGCTGGAAGGCAGGAGGACTCTGCAGAGAGACCTGGACAAGCTGGAGAGTTGGGCTGATTCCAATGGGATGAGGTTCAACAAGGCAAAGGGCGGGGTCCTGCACTTTGGCCACAACAACCCCCTGCAGCGCTACAGACTGGGCACAGAGTGGCTGGAGAGCAGCCAGGCAGAAAGGGACCTGGGAGTTTGGATTGACAGGAAGCTGAACATGAGCCAGCAGTGTGCCTAGGCGGCCAAGAAGGCCAATGGCATCCTGGCCTGTATCAGGAACAGTGTGGCCAACAGGTCCAGGGATTCTTTCCCTGTACTGGTGAGGCCACACCTGTGTCCAGTTCTGGGCCCCTCAGTTCAGGAAGGTTGTCGAGGTGCTGGAGCAGGTCCAGAGAAGAGCAACAAGGCTCTTGAAGGGACTCGAGCACAGGTCCTGTGAGGACAGGTTGAGGGAACTGGGATTATTTAGCCTGGAGAAGGGGAGGCTCAGGGGAGACCTCATCACTCTCTACAATACCCTGAAAGGAGGTTGTAGCCAGGTGGAGGTTGGTCTCTTCTCCCAGACAACCAGTAGTAGGACAAGAGGGTATTGTTTTAAGTTCTGCCAGGGGAGGTTTAGGTTGGGTATTAGGAAGAAATTTTTTACAGAGAGAGTAATCAGACATTGGAATGGTCTGCCCAGGGAGGTGGTGCATTCTCTGCCCCTGGAGTTTTTTAAGATAAGACTGGATGTGGCACTTAGTGCCGTGGTCTAGTAACCACGGCAATGTTGGATCAAGGGTTGGATTGATGATCTCAGAGATCTTTTCCAACCCAGTTGATTCTACGATTCTATGAATATGCTAGATATGTTTCCAGATGGAAATTCTGTGATTTAATCCTCCTCTGTGAAATAGATACATGTTTCCTAAACAGGTGAGCTGGTACATAAATAACATTGCCAGGTACTTCTAAGTAATTAGTCATACAAATTTGAAGTCTACACCTGCATTTGAAAAAATATAGCCCTGCAATGTCATAGTATCATACATGTGATCAGTGTTTGTTTTCTTCTACATTTGTTCTGAAAGATTTTTTTGGATATACCTGTCACTCAGCACAAAAGGGCCAGAAGATCAAGCAGGTCAAAGGTTCTACAGGTTCTTTTCTGAATCTAATATTTATTTCCTCTTTAACAGGTGATTTGTATATTGGAGGAGTGGCCAAAGAAATGTTTAAGTCCTTGCCAAAACTGGTGCATGCAAAGGAGGGATTCCAAGGCTGTCTTGCATCAGTTGACTTGAATGGACGGCTCCCTGATCTGATCTCAGATGCTCTTTTCTGCAATGGGCAGATAGAAAGAGGATGTGAAGGTATTAAATATACTATTTTTTTATATATATATCATAGTGAAAGTATTGTGCGAATCCTGGAGTGTTTTGTTGATATGTATACTGCATACATCAAGAGACTATATTCTACCTGCTTCTAATTGAACTTGCTTGACCCTGCCTTTCTTTAGTATTATGGAGACAAGCGTGTGCCTGCCCTACAGCACAGAGATTGATCTGAGAATATGAGTTAAATGCATAATGTTTAATGTAGTTTCATACTTCTCCAGTGTCAAGATATTTTGCATGTATTTTGTTTACTTCTGATGTATTTTAATTAATGATAGAAACAATACCAATTAGCTTCAATGAAGTTCTTTATATCTTCATAACACTTAGGCATTAGCTAATACTGAGATGTTAGCTAACTGATTCCATTTTTAGAGCAGACATTTTGAGTTGATTAATTGAAGGCTAATTTATGAAGCCGTTTAAGACCAATCTTCTATATTCTCTATTTTTACTCCCCCTGAAATTAGTATTGTCATGAACCTTTCTATCTGAAATCAGCAACAGACAAATATGTTTTATCTCACATTTTTATAGCTTTTTTGACTCATCTAGAATATCATGGAATTTAAGTGAGGACAGAATTAGAAGAGGTGTATTTCTAATTCGGGGGTGCCAATTTCTAGCTATTTTTCCAGCTGTCTTCTGATCCCATGTTATTTTTACTATGATTTATGGCATAATTTGAATACATTTTCTGTCACTCTATATCTACTTTATTCACGTAATTCTGAATTTTGTGTCTATGTTCAGTTTTATGTGTTCTCCCTTCTCTTAAGTACCATTCTTCTCTTGACATAAAAATGTGTAAATGACATTGTAAAATTAATTTTAAGTTGGAATCTTGATTATTTTGATATAAAGTTTGTTAAGTTTGAAAATTAACATTGTGAAAAATCCAAGCAGAGCTCAAGGGGTTTCCTCAAGCTTCATGAGATAAAGCATTCTGGTGGATAAACTCTGTCTCCTCTTTTGTTGTGCCTATAGTACATTTGTGAAGGTGGAATTTTTTTGTTCTTTACCTACTACCTTTAGTTACCAGTATAAGTTCTATTGTTAGCACATAGAAACAGACACTAAACCTACAGAAAAAATAAGATGTGAATTTTACATATTTCTATCAGGAGTGCAAAAATATGTATAAATTAGTTTGCCTCTGAGTGTAGAAAATTAGATTCTGCTTTCTGATGGGTGTTAGCAAGTTCCATACCTGCACCATCCCTTCAGAGAGTCAAAGTATGCCTTAATTCCATTATGCACTTCATAGCTTCTTTTGAAATTATGTCATTTCCTAAATGAATTTTATGTACTTCAAAGAAATATAGCTAGCTGCAGGCCTAGTGTGAGAGTTCACCTTTTAAACCAGTGGCACAACTCATCTATCAGTGAATTTAATAAAGCTACCAACAATTTAATAAAGGCCATACAACTATTGTCCGTTTAGATAGAGAGTCAATGTTTTCCCAACATCAAAATCATCTGACAGAACAAACTGGTCAAACCAGATGTGCTGCCTGGCTCCCAGAGAACTGCCTCATCAAAAGAAATCTGCCCATAGAAGGAAATCTTTAACAGCATGGAATGATATATTCCCTTCCAACCTATCTGCTTAACCTTGCAAGTTAACTCTTCCATCTCACTTGTTTACTTCAAGTCTTTGTGTCTGACCCATCTACCTGTCTTTTGTTTGCAGACCATGAATCAGATGTACAAAAAAGTGTTCTGTCACCTAAAATATGATTTAAGTCACATGTGAGTTTAGCTGCCTCCTAGAAAACTGTTGTACGCCTCAAGCTCACACCTCTGCTGCTGTGTGCAGCCAGGACTGTCTCCATCTTTACAAAACTTTGCATCAATCTCACACTACAATGGAATGTGTAAGCTCTGAAATTCCCTAAGACATCAAGTCCAAAGAGCTCAGGACACAGCAGCAGAAGTAATTTCAAAAGTGTTGGTCACCACCACTCTCAGTCCAAAAGACAGCTGGTGTATGTCCTTTGTTAAGACATCAGGCTGCTGGAAAATCTGGCCTGAGAAGTGAGGCACTTGTATTTGGTGTTTTTCAGGTTTATGAGATTGAATTCCCCAACTTTCTAGTACATATTAAAAGAAAAAGTAGTAGTAAAAAAAAATGAAAGCTCTGTTTCTCTCTTCTATCAAACTGTGAAGCCATAATGCACTGCTAATTAATTTTCTCCACTAGAGAAAATATTTATATTTCTCAATAACTTTACTGTCATAAGTGCATGAAACATTTTTTTGAAAACCCAGTCACAGGATTGGTGTGGCAAATTGTAAGGCTTGCGTTTTGAAGCTTCAACCACAGCCAGATACATATCTCTGTTCTCTATCATTAAACATTGGACATAATTTACACTTGGTTGAATCCACCTTGTTGACAAATTTTCTATGACTAGAAGAGATAGAAACTAACAGCTAGAAACATAAATATGCTAACTAGCTCTTGGAATTGTTAATGGCAGACCCCAGAGCCAGGTCATGTCAACACTGTTTTTCTCTAGTCAAATCTGCTGTACTTTCTTTACTCACTTTAAATAAAGCAGAATTATAGAAATTACAGCATGATGCAAACATAGTTTTTATATATTTAGAAGAAAAATGCACTGTGTGCCTGCATGTGCATACAAGCTATATGAAAAGTTTTACAATATTAGCATCCATAAAGATTTTGGTGGTAAGATAAGGAAGTTTTTTGCAATATATATTGCAAAAAAACCCAAAACAATGTATATGCTACTTTAAAATGCTCTTTGTGTTACATATTGCATTAAGCCCTCACACAGGACAAACATAAATGAGAGACGAAATCCAGTCAATTAAAAAGTCTGCAGTGAAGACTGAATAATTTAAAATATTTAAATTGAATATGAATACAAGGATGAGTGCTAGAAAAGAGTATATTACAGTACTTTTACTAAATAGCTTAGTTTTGCAATATATATAGGAAAATATGGGCCCCTTATGGTAAATATTGTAGTACTTACCAACATTAAGCAGTCCTCTTCTGTTCTTTAGAAAAAAAAAAAAAATCCTACTTTTATTTAAAGAAATACTTATATGTAAGCTAGTCTTGATGGCAATCTTTTAATAATGGCTGATATAGATATATAAAAAAGTGCTAAGAATCAATTCAATAAAAAGCAAAATACCTTGTTTTGTAACAAGATTGTATCTGTATTTTTTCTAAATATGTTTGTTTTGACATATACTTCTTAATGTGCCTACAGGGTCCTGCAGTTTATGTACTTTTAAGTCCTTGTGACTTTTGCTCTACTTTTGCAAAAGATGAGGAAATTCAACATTGCATAACAAAGTGTAAATAAATCCATGAATATATAACATTTAAACACCTACAGATATTTTCACTTCAGCTTTGTAAAGTTTCTGAGTAGCAGAATCTGGTGAGAAAAAAATGTGTCTTGTCAGCTATGGGATTCTGTCATTATAATCCCTAGCTCAGGAAAGGGTGATGTAATGCCCAAATGTTTAAACTTCTGGGCTCAAAACTCCAAAGAAAGGGAAATCACTATCTAATGTCTGCCTACTGCAGTAAGTCAGCTATTGTTATTATTATAACAGGAGAAAATAGAGCAGTTAATAGCTTTGCCAAAAAATGCAGTGTACTCTGCCCTTGTTCTCAATCACTCTGGTGGCTGTTCAGGCCCTGGTTCAGGGATGTGCTTGAGCAGTGCCTCATTTAAAGGAAGAGGCCATTGAGCTGACTTAAATCATATTGATGTGGATTTTTCGAAAATACTGGCAAATCAAAGTCCCACAACGAGCTATTTGAAGAAGCTCTAATGTAAAAGAAGGGTTATGTGGATTTCTCTACAGTGTGATTTTTTAATATATTTATATAATCTTTGGACCAGTTTTGCCCTATCATCAATGACTGGCAGTGGGAGTTTCAAATGGATATTGATGTGTCTCCTCCAAAACAATTTAGGACAATTTTATAATCCCAGAACCAAATTTTTCCTTGTAGTGTCAAGAGTTAGTGTGAAATGTGTGTGTGAGCTCATTGTAAACTGTGGTTCATAGTCTGTGTTTCAGTCTTCATTCATCCATCACAAAGAAAGGGGCTAGAGAAAAGACAGACCACAGTGGATGATGGTGCTAATTAGTCTTGAATTCAGTGTATCTGAACATGACAAATGGCTAGTCAGGATTCAGCCATGCATTTACTCTGTTAATGCATTCATATCTATCCAAGGAGTAAAAAAAAGCCCACTTTTAATTTTCCTTCATTACATGTCATCAGCTCAATTAACCATTATATTTCTAGTAAGATACTGGCAAATTACTGCTTTCTTATTTTGGCTTGCCTGAAGATTTATGGCTATTAGCATTAATTTGTTTGCATTATATGGCATTTCTTTCTCTCTTTAACAGCAGCATGCACTTTACTCTGAATGTTTTTTTTCTGTGTTTGCTGCCATTTCAATATTGCTTACTAACATTTACTATATTTTGCTTTTTTATTTTGCTGACAAAGTTGCATTGATGAAAGCTGATTTGCAAGGTAGATAGCCCTGTGTGTATTAAACAAGACTGAAACCCCCAATGCACAGTTGGATTTCTGCAATAAATGCTCTGTACATTTCAGAACTAAAGTGTGTTATTTTGTTTCAGATTTTGTCTTTCACACCTCTAAAACAATGGGCTACATGAACCTTCATTTTCCAGCATAGCTTGCATAAAGGCTTTCAGTCTTGAATATGTTTGTATAGTGATTGCTTTAGTGCTTTGATCATTCCTTTTTGAAATTTCTTTATATTTCAGTAGTCTAGTTATGATTCTCTAGAAATAGAGTAGCTTTGTTTTTCATGCGTATGTCACATTTTGGCATGCCAGTTCATTAGTAGTCTGATTTTCTGCATTTCCTCTTTAAAAAGGAACCTGCATGGGATCCCTGAAGCATGTGAATCAGTTCTTGTCAACATTCCTCCCAAAGAATCCCAAACTGCCCTTAATTTCAGACCTAAATAATTAAAAATAATTTGTGAGATTAAGATAATTGTAATAGTGTAGCTTCATTTTATTATTTTTTGAAATTT